TCGTGCTTCCGAAAATGCTGGAACCGGCGAGCGTAATGGGGAATTTGCCGTTGTACCCCCCCCCCCCCCCCCGTAGTGATCGTCGGTATCTTCGTCGGCATCTTATTTGATCCCTGTGGAGGGTCTTACGCTTATTCGATGATGCAATTTTCTCGAGAAGAAAATGAGAATAATGACTATTATAGAAGAGCCTTTGCCAGGCAGTGCAATGAGCCACCGTCGATTACGATCTCAGTCGAGGCTGGCACCCCGCTGTTGCGCAAAAAATATCTAAGGTAGGTAGGTACCTTACGTGGAGGGATGTGGACCCCTGGAGAATGGAAAACATATCCCACGGTACCTAGTTGTGTTGATTGATGTATGCGAGAATGGAACGAAGAAGATTGAAAAAAAAAAAGGGATTCTAAGAATTGGGGTAAATCTCACCAAGTAATCAAGAGACAACAAACAGAAATGGCAGCCACAGCTTGGAATTCTCCGATTTGCAAGTACATAGACCGCGGCTGGTGTGATACTTGGATTCTGTTCTATGATATCGAGACATTTGGCCAATTGGGAGATAATGTACCCTGACCAACTTGAGCCAAAGCAAATAAGTAGAAAAACATTCAACCAAGTGAACGGCTCTCCTAACAGAAGCTTCAGAGTGAGCGAGAAGGTGTCGTGGTGTTATATTACAGACGCAAGACCATCACCACTAACGAGCGCGCCTGATCTCCGTGTGCCCCGGCTGCACGTCCTCTCCTATCAATCACCAACCCATCAAGACATTTAAACCCATCAACCTCCCTCTTCAATCCTACCAGCCCCCCAAGAGCAAGAATCCCGTCACACGCACCCCTCCGCCAAAAAACTTCGGTCCCGAGAGTGGAGACCCACCACCTCGGGCACGGGACCCTCGGGAATCCCATCCCCGAAGCCCCATCTCCGTGCGCCCCGAAATGCCCGAGTTTTGACAGATCAGAAAAAAACAACAATCATCACCGCCGCCCTGGTCCTTTTACGAGCAGATGCCTAAGATATGACAATGGATCACTCCGCATTCGCGCGGAGAGATCCTTCTGATTCGATACCAATAAAGGAAAACGAGAAAAAGAGAGATGTACGGGTTTCACATACGGGGACACCCGAGAACTGCGTCATTGGGGCCCCTTGGACGTTACATCCGCCATATGGTCGGAGTCCGCCCCTAAGAACCCCTCTTACCTACTCTTACCCCCGAAGCCATGGAGACTTTCGGAGACTTTGAGATCGAGACCGGGCTGGATCGCCATTTCTCACGGGGTTGATGCAGAAAGCAAGGAGGGGGACACGTCGCCGTTATCAGATCGGAGACACGTCGCTCCGCCATCAGCCCATCACCCTGGCGCGTGGTACTTTTGCATTTCCGCGTCAGCAGCAGCAGCAGGATGGAGATGCATATGCCGGCGTCGTAATAACCTCCAGGCAATAACCTCCAGGCAAACGCGCAGCACGCGCGTGTGTGTGTGTGCCTTGCGAAGAGAGTCGACCGATCCCCATTGGTCCCATCGATTTTCATCCCATGTACCGGAGCAATGACAGGGCAGGCTTCGTAGGAATCCCGCCCGATCTTTTCATTGAATCCCGTCTATTTACCATTAGGTGGCTGACTTTTCTTTTTCGTTGTCTCATGACCGTATCGTTACAGGTGTGGGAGAGTTGTCAATGTACAACGAGAAGATACCGCGGGAAATCCAACCCCTCAGAAGCCGTTAAACACCAGCACCACCCCTCTCTAAGTACCGTGGGCGGAAAGACGTCCCCCGTCTTCGCCTTGCTCCTATTTTTCCAAAACCTGCCTCGCCGCCTGTGATGAACTTCGTGCTGTTACCATCTACCCGTTGGCGGCTGGCCAAAGTTCCCAAAGGTCCCGAACATGTTGGCCGCGGCTTGCTGGTTCACGTTGCCATTCGGGACGCCCAGGTCCGCCCACATGTCCAGGTCATAGAAGTTCGTGGTATCGAGGAAGTTTCCAAGGAACTGGTCCATGGGCTGATCCTGCCGCGGCGGCATCTCCATCTTCATGGGCTGCGCGGGGGATGGTCCGGCCGACGACACCTCCGAGCTCGACTGGGGCACGATGTCCTGCAGCCGGGGGACGGCGAGCGGCGTCTCGTAGGGCATGCCGGTCTGCGCCAGGGCCCGCTCGCGCGCCCGCCACGCCTTGAGCATGTAGACGCCCAGCTGCGCGTTCTCCTTCTTGGTCATGTCCCAGAGCTCCTCGTGGAACCTGTATACCCGGTCGATGACCTTCCACGCGCGGTCGGCGAGCCTGCCGGTCGGTCGCTTGTAGAGCTGACCGGCCATGACGATGAAGACGTCGATCTGGAAGTGCAGCTTGAAGAACCACACGAAGCCCGTGTTCTCCATGAATTCGTACAGCTCGACGTTGTGCTCGTGGTGCATGAGGGATATCCTGAACATGTTGTCCTGCACGTTGAAGATCTCGGTGCCCCATTCGGGCAGTTCGCGCATCGGGATCATCATGGCGCGCATCTTGTCGGTGACCATGGACCTGATCTTCGTGGCGACGATGTGGATGTTGCCCGCCAAGGGATCGCAGTATTGCTTCTCGAGGGCGATGAGCCTCGCATCGAGGTTGTCGACCAGAACGCGGTACTTGGCCAACGTCGCCTGGTTCGCGAGCTGCGATTCCAGCGACTCGTTCTCCATGGCGCCCAGCACGACGGCCTCGAAATCGGGGATTCGGTTTTCGACGATGAATCGGCCGACTTCGTACAGGAGCAAGCAGAATGCCATCTCGGTGGGCCCGTCTCGGGGTTGGACGGGTTCCGTGGACCCGGGGTACAGATCGGCGTCGTTTACGTTTTGCGGCGTTTTCGTATCCCAATTCCACGGTAGTAGCGTGTCGCAGAACCCAGAAACCATCGCGTACTTCGTGTCGAGCATGATAATCTGCCACCAGAGTCGTCGCCTCATCTCGGTCTCGTACGGAACCAGGTTGAGAGAGTCTCCATCACGATGCAGGCCCATCTTTTGCGCAATCCGTATCAAGATGCCGCTGAGCACCCAAGCCGCGTGACGGTTGTATCGGCCCTGAAGGGAGATCTGGAGACGGTCAGCGAATGTGACTTGGCGAAAAGCTTTCCAACACAGCACAAACCAGGTAAAGAATCAGAGACTGCAGCGTCATCATGTCGTGGTTCTTGAGGAAGTTAACCTTGGTCAGCGCTGCCTTCACACCAGCGGTAAACTTCTTCAGCGCGTCCTCCTTTGAAGAGTCCAACATTTGCCTAGCTTCGGCTTCGGTCATGGTAAGTGTTGCGACGAGGTAGATGGAGAAGAGCAATGTCTGCGCGTTGTTCGCGACATTAGAATGGTTCGCGGCGGCTTCGACTACGAGCGGCTGCAGAGTTGGCACGTGAATGAGCTTGGTGATGGGGTTCACCCGCTCCAAAAACACCTGCCATAGTCTGAAGATCTGGACGGGGGACGGAGTGACGTCTTCGAGATCGATGGCAGCTATGTCGTTGAGCAAAAGATCCACATTGTCGTCGGGAGTAACGGCATCGGAACCTAGTACACTTTGCTCCTCCTCCTCGGCCTCGATGATTTGTCGCATAGCCGTCAACTACAGGTCGTTAGACAGGGGTCCAATTGGAGGAGATGCACAAACGCATCCGCGCAAACTACACACCTGGTCGTGAACAGTTGCCCACAGGTAGCTGTCCATAAATCGAACGCTACCATCCTCGACTATTACTTTACCAGCGGGTTTCCATGATGTTGTCGCGGGTGAGCCAACTTCTTCCACAACCGATGCTGTGCCTGAAGGTAGTGGCAGCTGGGGTATACTCGGGGATGGGCCTGTCGACGAGGGAGTCGGTTGTGCTTGTGATGGAGGGGAAAATATCGTCGAGTTAGTGGGTGGGCCCGCGGGTGGTGTTGTTGGAGAGGCAGCATATTGCTTCAACAGAGCTTCACACCTCGCCAACCTCTCTTGCAAGTCCTGGTTGGGCCTCCTCCTCTTCCGTGCAGGAGCTGGTGTGGATGGTGTGCACGAGACATTGGCCTGTACGAGTCAGCAGCTAGAAATGGGGATAGCCTCATGTCAACGTCGGCGCACCTTGATGCAGTTGGAGCATGGGGTGTTGCGGTCGCATTTGATCTTGCGATGTTGGCAGAGAACACAAGCCAGAACCCTCGGGGTCTTGTGCTGGCTCGATGTGGTGCTCATCATGGTAGGGCTGAGGCTGAGGAGCCTCTATGGAGACGGGTACGCGATAGTTGCCACAGGAAGATTTTGAAACAGGATGAACTCGTCCATGAATTGGGGTATCAAACCCGCAGAGTCGGAACGCGTGGGCGCGCAGCCCTTATGACCGCTCGGTTTGAACGATGAGAAAAGTAGTTGGCAGGGATTCCAGCCTAACAGAGCCGAAGGGGAGAAAAGGTGTGGCGACCGTCAGACCTGAGACCCGAGCAGTAATAAATGAAGACTCGACTTGTCTTGACGCGACCCTAGTGGGAATAAAGAGGCCCTCACCCCCTTTGGCGAAGTTCGCAAGTCGCGCACGCACTTTAGCGCAGTGCGAAAGAGAGTTTTGGGCTTAGAAATGGGGACAAATTGAGATCCCGGGTTGCGTTTGGTTCTATGAGGCGTCGATGACCAACCAAGGCGGGGATTAGCGCAAGAGAACGTCTTTGAATCGTTATGCTTCCCCGGCTGAGCGGTGCAGCGGATGAAGGTGGTGGGAGAGAGGTGTGAGTGGGAGTTGGCGGAAGCAATACGGTAGGTCGAGCGAGGGTTGATCGTGGGTTGGTCCGGGAAGAGCGGACGGGAGGCCTGGCTAGTTAACCAGGGTTGAGGTTGAAGGAGGTTGAGAGCCAGGGCCTTGTGTTTGGAGACGCGCGTGCGGTAGTGATGCGAGTAGATGGATGCCTGGGGAACTGGTGATTGATACGGATATGAATCCTGAAGCCTGGGCTGCGGTACCGAGCTGTAAGGACCGTATTTGGCGGGATACGTATGGACGGGATCGGGTGGGATGTACAGGAGTGGTATGTAAGGAGAAGATGTGCTGAGCGATGTATGTGGTTGTGGTGGTTGTGGGAGGATGAGGTGGGAGAATGTAGTGGCGGAGAAAGTGGGAAAGGCAAAACGCAGAGACCAGGGCTAGAAAGGCCAGACAGACGAGCAGCTGGCAGAGAGAGACACACTGCTGCTATGTATCCGTATGCTGACTGTGACGAAGGGACTTTGTGTTGGACAGATCACTGTCTCTAACTGCTGCAGTGCTGATGAGGCGTCGGCGGCGGCGGAGGCGGAAGCGGACTGGGAGAAGGACGAAGAAGAGTCAATCGAATGCGGGCGGGCGCAGGCGCAGGCGCGGGTCACAGTTTGCTGTCTTGTCGGTCTGACTCTGACTCGTCGGGATTCCAGGAATTCCGATGCAGCACTACCCAGCCAAGAGGAGAAAAGCGGCCACCAGAACGTGTCGTGTGCGTCTCACTGGGCTGCTCCGGGTTGCGCCTACTGTAGCTGATCTCTGGGGCCCAATATATGTCCAGACTCCAGTGTTCCCAGTGCTTCTTGTGTGTCTGTTTATTTGTAGGAGTGGGTTGGATGAGCTTGGTTACTGTACCCCTCCAAGGCTGCGGCTGGTGGATGGCTGGTCCGAGAGATTCCGTCGTAATTCAAACAGGGACGACGTTGGTATGTTGTAACTCTGTACCGTTGCAGTTGGAGTAGTACAGAACGTCGCGATTATTAATAGGCAGCAGCAAGCAAGCAAGTAAGAAAACAGGCAGTTGACAGAAAGCTAGAATCGGAGGTGGGATAGAGAAGAGATAGACCAAAGGTCGATCAGTTCAATGAGGGGTGAGGTCGCCGGAGGGAACGGACGAAACGGACGTTGGGCGGACGAATGACGACAATATGCTGGTCGACTAACTGGTGGGTGTGCATGTGCGCGCGGTCTAGGTCCTCCTCGTCCTTCTCTGCGGCGGGATGGAAGGTTACAGAACCCTGGACCTGGGACGGAGTTTGGTGGACTATGTGCTACTCTTGTCGAGTGTGTGAACCTGAAAGATGGCGACCTCGATCAAAGTCCGCCGAGGCTCGGAAGTGTTGGCCGCTTATCTTTTATAGTGTAACCATATGCGAGCGGCAGAAGGGGTGATGGGTGGATGGTCGAGAAGAGAGAACAGGACGAGAAGTATTCGTACTCCGTACGATCAACCTCAAGGGTTCGGCGCGATGTGAGGTCAGCGGAAGACAGGGTATCCGTACGGCGGCGGCGGCGGCAGCGGCAGCGGCAACGGCAGCAACCATGCAGGGCAAGGCAAGGCAAGGCAATGTAGGGATGTTCGGCGCAGACCTGACGGACAGGGAGGCGGTAGGGTGCGAGTGTGCAACTGTAACTAACGGGAATGGGCGGTACCGAAGGAGTTCGGGATAAAAAGAGTGGAAGAGAAGATGAGGTGGGAGGGAACGAGATGCGGGTTGATGGTGGGCAGGGACGGCGGGCGGACGGCGGGGTGACAGATGAGAGTTCCTGACAGAATTCTGATTTTCTCACGTCAACCAAACGTCCTTGCGCAAGCGGGCAGCCAGGATCAAGCAGGGGGATAAGCACGAGGGAGATGATATTGTAGCGCATGGAGAGAGAGGCCTGAGCAGAAGAGGAAGTCTTGGTAGGTATGAGCCACAATGAGCCAGCTGGAAAGCAAATGAGATGCGGCAAGGAGTCAGAAACAGATGCGATTCCTGAATTCCTGACTGATAACGCGCGCGGCCAGCACATCCATCCCTCAAATCAGCAGGTGAGAGATGATACCCGCGCGTGCAACTGGACATGGGCAGCAATTAGTGTAGTGTAGGTAGCATTGGCGGGCACGAGGGGAAGGGGGAAAGTTGGAGGGGGAAGCTAACATCTAGGTCATCATCGCAAGGTATCCGTACAATTCAAAGTACCTAAGATAGCGCAGGGCACTCTGAGGCACTGCCATCTGTGCGCAAGACCATCTCAATGTGGGCTAAAGTCCCCGGCGTCAGGGCATATGATATGTGCTTTATTAGACCTGCCGACATTGCGTCAGGCATTGGACTATGCCAACATGCTCCAATGCACTCTGCCACAAGCAGAAATCAGCGCGTATCCGTTCGGTACGAATACCTGCGATGCAAGAGTTCCCGAAGCCAAATCAAGACACGTGTAAATAGACACAGGGTGCCTTACCTCATGCTGGAGGCCAAGGTACATACCGACAACATCGGCGCATAACAGGGCCGACCCTGACCCCCGCCAAGAGTGCCGAAGTGCGAGTTGTGCTAAGTTTTACGGCGCCTGCAGCTTGTGCAAAGCCTAGTTACATGCGGCTTATAGACTTGTGCACGGCTAGGCCGTCCCGATCACAGATTGTGCGAATTGTACAAACCTTATGACATTCCACACTCCACCGTGACCTCCACCTCCGCGGAGAGCACGGCCACGGATTGAATGGAAGTGTTTTGCACAAGTGGGACATCCGGAATCCACTCTCTGCTCTCCACTCTCCATAAAACGGAAGACGTGGACCCTCCCGGCCGGCAGATGTGCGGTCTGATGACTCATCTCGACTCAACTTGTGCAGAGCTCCGCTGGCCTGCCTTATTGCTCCGCCCTACCGGCGGTAAATATCTGTCCGTCCTTACCTCCGTGTCCCGGTGGCCGGCCTCAGCTGCACCGTCTTCCGTCGTATTCGGGTCGGGTATTTTCTTGGTTCTGCCCACCCCCGCCGATACAGATTGCATTTATTGCGTCACAGCAGCATCTCAGTCTTCGGGCCGTCACTACCTACTGCTAAGAGTGAACTCATCGCATGCATAATACTTGATCAGTAATACAGCTGGTATTTAGTACAGAGAAAGCCGTGTTTAACAATTGATCAGTTGCATGTTTGTACACTGGCCAATCAGAGCTGATGACTGCCCATAAATATGGACCACGCTGTTTGCAAGATCGATTCGACCAATCAGCACGTCTCCAATGCTGATTGCCCAAAGAAGCCAATCAGTTTTTTGGGGAACCCCACGTCAGAACAATTGGTTCCCCACACGTTCCAAAATTTCGGCCGATGAAGCACAGTCACAGAACACCACTGGCCGACATCGCGACCGACGTCGAAAAAAAAAGTCCTGCAACGTTAATCGCCTCAACCACGACCGCCACTTGATCCCGAGTTGCAGGCAGCCGGAAGAAGGGATCGCATAACGACAAGAACTGTTCAATTGGCCATTGGGCTCACAAAATCCGCCCAGCATGCTTCCACTCGTGCGTTTTCTCCGTCTCCGAAGTCGCTGCGACTCATAGCTAACGACCCCTCGCGCAGAGACGAGCCGTGGCTCTCCACGCCACGAGGAGCTGCCGCCAGCTCGCCCTCCGACACGTCGCCTCCTCACGATTGATCCGCCCGAGTTTCTACACGACGACGACCCGACTCCGACAGAATGCCTTCCACTCCCAGCTCGAGAGCGCCGGCGCGGCCGACTTCCTCTCCCAACCCGGCCCCAAGGTCGTCGAGAACCCCCAGACTATTACCGAGAAGATCGTCCAGAGACATTCTGTTGGCCTTGCGCCCGGCAAGAAGGTTCGCGCCGGCGACTACGTTACTCTCCGACCTCACAAGTACGTCCGCTACACCATCCCGCACCTATGGAAACTCGCGATACGGTTACCTATTTTCGGGGAGGAATACCGCTGGTCAGGGCTTAGCTGACCGACAAAAGGATGATGTCCCACGACAATACCTGGCCCATCGCAATGAAGTTCATGTGTAAGTGGACATCGAGTTTTGGTTGGCCTCCCGCTAACTGGTGGGGTTTCAGCAATTGGAGCAACCGAAATCGCAGACAAGTCACAACTGGTCTTCACGATTGATCACGATGTCAGCAATTCTCTTCGTCAAGTGCATCCGCTATTTATACTGACACGCAAGAGGTTCAAAATGAGTCCGAGTCAAATGTCAAGAAGTACAAGCAGATCGGCGAATTCGCCCGCAAGCACGGTATCACCTTCTTCCCCGAGAAGACAGGAATTGGACATCAGCACATGATCGAGAACGGATTCGCATGGCCTGGATCCGTAGCCGTAGCTTCGGACAGTCATTCCAACATGTATGGAGGTGTTGGTGCTCTTGTAAGTCCCCAAAGGTAGAGCCCATGAGAATGATGCTGACTCTCTGCTTCAGGGGTAAGTCTCTGCTGGCCAAGCTTCTGCCAGTGATGCTAACTTCTTTTTGGCACTGCCGTCGTACGAACCGATGGTGCTGCCATCTGGGCGACGGGAAAGACATGGTGGCGTAGGTTACCCTGACATTCGCGTCCTCTGTGGCAACTGGATGCGATTTCGAAGACTGCGATGCTAACAGAAGCAGAGGTACCGCCGGTGTGTAAGCTGACACTGAAGGGAGTTCTACCCCCGGGTGTCACTGGAAAAGATGTCATCGTCGCTCTGTGCGGCTTATTCAACAAGGACGAGGTTCTCAACCACTGCGTCGAGTTCCACGGCTCAGAGGAAACCATGCGCTCGCTTTCCATCGACGACAGACTCACAATAGCCAACATGACGACCGAACACGGCGCCGCTAGTGGAATCTTCCCCATGGACTCTGTCCTCAAGGCATGGATGACCGCAAAGGCCACCACCAATGCGATGCTCAACCCGGAACAAGCGGCAAAGAGCAACTTCACCCACGAGCGGATCGAAGAGCTCTTCGCGAACCCCATCACTGCCGACACCGGCGCCGTTTACGCCAAGGAGCTCTACCTTGACCTGTCCACTCTTGGCATCTGGGTTTCGGGTCCCAACTCAGTCAAGATCGCTTCGCCTTTGGAACAGCTCGAGAAGGACGACATTCCGGTGAACAAGGCTTACTTGGTTTCCTGCACCAACTCGCGCGCTTCAGATATCGCCTCTGCGGCGCGCGTTTTCCGTGAGGCTGCGGAAAAGGGACTGCCCGCCAAGATTGCTCCCGGTGTCAAGTTCTACATTGCCGCTGCGTCTATCAACGAACAACGCGCCGCGGAAGAGACTGGAGACTGGCAGGTTCTGAAGGAAGCAGGCGCAATAGAGCTTCCCTCAGGTTGCGGTAAGATATCTTCACGAAAGGAAATACGACGAAAGCAATTAGCTGACGAAAGAAGGCCCTTGCATCGGTCTGGGTACTGGACTTCTCGAGGAAGGCGAGGTTGGAATCAGCGCCAGCAACAGGAACTTCAAGGGTATGCAACTACTCACGCGACTTGTGGTCTAAGAGGAGCAGTGCTAACTTTCCTCAAGGACGAATGGGCAGCACATTAGCCAAGGCGTACCTGGCCAGCCCCGCAGTCGTCGCCGCTAGCGCGCTCAAGGGCAAGATTGCCGGCCCTGAGTGGTACCAGAAGCCCGATGTCGACAAGCCCATCGTTGGTGAGGGCGTCGGCGACATGACGGCCGACATCGCCAAGAGCATCGAGGATGCCCTGGCTGGTCTGATCTCCCAGGCAGATGGTCTCATCGCGGAATCCGAGAAGGAGATCACCGGCGCCCCTGCAGGAGAGGCTGCTGCTTCTGCTGCTGACGGCGAGGAGGCTCTTACTGAGATTCTCCCCGGCTTCCCCGAGAAGATTGAGGGCGAGATCGTCTTCTGCGACGCTGACAACCTCAACACCGACGGCATTTACCCGGTACGCATTTCCAATCTCCCCCCTCAGCTCTCCAGAGACTAACCCTCGAAACAGGGCAAGTACACTTACCAAGACAACGTGTCGACCGAGAAGATGGCCGAAGTGTGCATGGAGAACTACGACCTGGCCTTCCGCGACGTCGCCAAGGCCGGCGACATCCTCGTCTCCGGACTGAACTTCGGCTCCGGCAGCTCCCGCGAGCAGGCGGCGACCGCCATCCTCGCCAAGGGCATCCCCATGGTCGTCGCCGGCAGCTTCAGCAACATCTTCAGCCGCAACAGCGTCAACAACGCCCTCATGGCCGTCGAGGTGCCCAAGCTCGTCACCAAGCTCCGCGAGGCATTCAACGACGAGAACGACAAGGTCCTCACCCGCCGCACCGGCTGGAAGCTCCTGTGGGACGTGAGGAGGAGCAAGGTCGTCATCACGGAGAAGGACGGCGCCAGCTGGAGCGTCAAGGTCGGCGAGCTGCCCCCCAACGTGCAGGAGATTATCGCCAAGGGCGGCCTCGAGAAGTGGGTCAAGAGCGAGATCGGGCTCTAAAGACCGAGACACAAAAAGCGTAAGAAAAGAAAAGTTGGAATTTATACCATCGAATCTGTTTTTTTTTTGGTACTACAACTGGGATCGCGGGACCTTTGGTTTTTTAAGGTGTAGATATGGGCTCTGAAAAACGTACATGAAAGAACTGGTTTACTGTTTCTGGGAGTACCCGCGATTATCTGTGTCCTGACCGTCGGTGTCGTGGTCACTGAAACGCGTCCAGAAGCCGTACCGCTCGTGATGTCGTTCAGCGTCCACCTCCGGCGCCCCGGACATTGAGCTCCGGCGAAAAGCACCGGGGTCCCCGGCCTCCACATCTCCGCAAGTTCAAGAAACTCAAAAAAACACCCATCTCCGCTCCGCACCGTTCGGCGGCACGTCCCTTCCCTGCTCCCTCTCTCAGTTTGACGTCGAAAGTCAGGTATCGCAGCAAACTCCGCGTATTTTAAGCATGAATCATACGGGATGTGGCGGTGTTATACGATGCGGAGGGATTTATGTCAGACTGCCGAGAACGAGAACGAGGGATGAGGGTGGGATGTTGAGTGACATCTCGCGAGTTCCTATCTGTGATCTCACCGCCGATCCGTAAATCGTTCGATTGACAATTCGGGGAGCCTTCCCGTCTCCTCGTCCTCGCCATTCCATTCGGCGCGCCGTAAAAACGCAGTGAAGGTTTCCTCAGCCCTACGGTGCCTACCCGTCAGCTTAGACCGATGCATTGCGACTCTGCTGAGACTTGGCGTCTGGCGCCGTGGTGTGGTCATTCCCTTGGGATGGGTTTAAATTGCAGTGAACTGCATCACGGCCTCAGTCCATCACATAGTAGCACATCTGGCACACACAGCACGTTCTGGCCAATCAACCATCTCTTTTTCCAAGCCAAAGAGAGACAACCCGCCTCCTACATTGCTTGGACTTTGAATATACACGCCATTCGAATGTTCGCGGGCGTCGGGCCTCGTACTAAGCAGGTGGAAGTGAATAGCAGTAATTGAGTCCACGGTATTTCCCGCGGGGTCCTCTTGAGATACCAAGCCACATGTCTGCACAGGTAGCTTTCATCAGCAGCATCAGAACTCACGATGCACTCTCTCAAAAGTTATGAAAAGCTCATCCCCAAAACATCAGTACATCACAAAACGCCCTGTAAAAATCCCCCAAGTCGACATGTACAGATTCGAAAAGCCCCCAACTTAACTTCTCAGCACAAAACATGCTGAAAGCGAGCGTAGTGGAGAAACGCTGAACGAAGGGGAAGGGGTACAGCTCGGTTTGGGAACGCGAACGCGAGCGTCATCCGAAAACCGAGCAACACGAGAAACGAGGGAACGCAGCCCTCCCGGAAGGAAACGAATACGACGTCAAACCCAAAGCTAAATACGCGGATATGTGCAGGAGTAGTAGATCCGACGAAAATTATAGAGCTTAATGAAGCTTAAAATGTGTTTGTGTGTGTCGTAATACGCGGCTCTAGTTTCCTTGTTCTTTTGTTTGTTGATCATCATCATCAGCTGACGCATCGGAGTCGAGACGAGCCGAGGGGTTGGATATTTCGAGGATGCACGAGAGAGAACACGTCAGATGAACGGCGGCACGGCACATGAGTTCAGCAAAGTTTTTTTTACGATTTTTTTTCATGACGGCGCGTCCAAGATTCCCAGTCCGTCGAAGTCGGGACTCGAGGCTTTATCTGCTGGTGTGGCCTCGTCGTCGCCTGTAGTCTCGACAGACACGACGGCCATGGGTCTCTGGTCGGCTACGAGCGCTCTTCTTTTCGTCTTCCTGAGAAGGACATTATGCCGTTTGCTCTTGACGTGCTTCGTCCAGTCCTGCTCCGTCACGCAGGTCGTCTTGCAGACGTCGCACGTACGTCGGCAGTGCGTGCGCCCCGTCTGGACCGCAGCCTCCCGCAGCACGCCGCCTGCCGTCTCCGATATGCCCGCCGGATCGGGCAGGCTGTCGCCTTCGAGGAATCGGCGCGCGATGTCGACGGCCGGGTCGATCACGTTGGATGACCAGCGGGATATGTCGGTGCTGTCCATGACGAAGAGATGGTCCATCGCACCCGGGTGCTCTTGCAGGAGGGGTACGAGCTTAGTGCGGATCCAGCGCGTTTGGTACTTTGCGTACTGCCGTGTTGAGGTCTTCATGTCTTCGAGACCTGCAGCTTTGAGAGACTCGAGAATGGCGGCGTCATTTGCTTCTTCGGGGTTGTTGAGGGCCTTGAGGTAGGGTGTGAATTCCTTGAAGCCGATCGACTGCCAGATGCCGCGGGTGTAGTCCACCTCCTCACCTATGGCCTCTTTTGCCTGGACGTACTCGTACATGGACTGCGTCTCGTCGTTGAGGCCGGCCGTGAGCATCTTGCCCACCCGGTTATCGAGGCGTTCCTTAAGGACCTCGGGGTCCGAGTACACCCAGAAGAGAAGCGTCTGCCAAGGCCTCGCGCCGTTCTCCGCCATCTTGCGTTGGCGCTGTTCCGCATAGATTTCGGACGCCGGCCGACCGGTTTGGAGATAAATTGCCAGCGACCGCGCGATCTTGCGGCCGTCGTTGGGGTGCCAGCGGTCCGCCATGACGGGGTCGACCTCCCTCAGCTTCGCCAGTATGACCTCGGTTGGTTCGCTCAGGATCGGGAAAGATGCTTCGTCCGGCTCGTCTGTGTCATTTTCGTTCACCTGCTTCTCGATGTCCGTGCGGACGAGGGTGTCTTCGAAGAGCAGCGCATTCGTGTAGTAGTGCGTGCCGCCGACGACGATGGGCAAGTTGCCCCTGCTTCGAATTTCGCGGATGAGCTTGTTCGCTTCGCGCTTGAAGTCATCGACAATCCAAGTGGGTTGGTCGAGACCGATGTGGTCGAGAAGGTGGTGGGGGACGCCGCGGCGCTCTTCGGTTGTGATCTTGTTCGTGATTATGGGCAGACCCTTGTACATTTGCATAGCGTCCCCATTGATGATTTCGCCTTTGAAGCGAGTCGCAAGCTCTACAGCAAGCTTTTGGGGTGTCAGCCTCGATCGCAAGTGCGACGGCTATCGCAGGATCGCATCGAGGAGGTATGCGCCGGGTCTGTGTTGTGCTCACCTCTGATTTTCCAGTTCCAGTCGAGCCCAGGATGACCACCAAAGGGTCTGCGGGCGCATTTCGGGCTGTCATGTTGCCAACAACATTGTGTATGAACCTTCGGCCAAAAATTGACCGAAAGATCATACCAGAGATATCCTGCCTAGAGGTGACTCAGGAGGATCACAGCATTGTTGCCGTGCGTTGTACTTCGTGTCCTATGGCGAGAGTGTTTTGGGTGACTTAATGGTCCAAAATGTGGCATCAGAAGATATCGGAATGCGGCAGAAGGAAAAGTTGGAGTCACAGCCAGCGGGCAGGCACTGGATTGGGCCCGTCACCTCATATTCCCTGCACCGGAGAGACCCCTAGCAGCGGAAAGCACGACCTTAAAAGAGCACTGACTGGACCCCAGGACCTTACCCAGTAAAATTGCATGTTAAAGGACATTGGACAGGTCACGTGCAGCTTGACTCCACCAAATTTTTGGACACATCGACAATTTGGCGTTTTTGAAGCCAGATCGCAGCCGACCCTCTTTTCGCCCCGAGCTCTCTCCTCCTCCCCTTAATAACCTCTCCTTCTCCTCAACACCCATCACCCTCACCCCCTTCGCCACACCTGGAGCCATTGTCGCTCTCTATCTCTCTCTTCTTCTTCCCTTCATCTGGATGATTTAGATCCTTTGTTTTTAGTTTCCTCCCCCCAGTGTAACAGCCCATCATGAGTTCTCGTAAGTTACCAATTCCCTCGACTCCCGAATCGCGTGTCGCATAGCTCCAAAGAGGACACGCGCGCGATATCACGGCCCCTGTCGCGAGACGAATTGCCTCGACATCAACTCAGGACAACCCAATGGCTAACGTACGCGCTTCTTTCCCACAGTACGGTTCCTCGATCTGGTCAAGCCGTTCGTGCCGTTCCTCCCCGAGGTTCAGCAGCCGGAGACCAAGATCCCCTTCAACCAGAAGCTGATGTGGACGGCATTGACCCTCCTCATCTTCCTGGTCATGAGCCAGATGCCCCTGTACGGCATTGTCTCTTCCGACAACTCGGATCCTCTATACTGGCTGCGTATGGTTATGGCGAGTAACCGAGGAACGCTGATGGAGCTGGGTATCACTCCCATTATCTCCTCCGGCATGGTCTTCCAGCTCCTTGCTGGCACCCACATGATCGACGTCAACCTCGACCTCAAGAGCGACCGCGAGCTCTACCAGACCGCCCAGAAGCTCTTCGCCTTCATCCTGTCCGCCGGCACCGCCACTGTCTACGTCTTCACCGGCCTCTACGGACGCCCCTCTGACCTCGGCGCCGGTATCGTCTTCCTGCTCATTCTCCAGCTCTTCGTCGCTGGTATGATCGTCATTCTCCTCGACGAGCTCCTCCAGAAGGGATACGGCCTGGGCTCTGGTATCTCTCTGTTCATCGCCACCAACATCTGCGAGTCCATCATGTGGAAGGCCTTCTCCCCCACGACCATCAACACCGGCCGTGGCCCCGAGTTCGAGGGTGCCGTCATCGCCCTCTTCCACCTGCTCCTCACCTGGCCCAACAAGCAGCGCGCTCTCCAGGAGGCTTTCTACCGCCAGAACCTCCCCAACATCATGAACCTGCTGGCCACCATCGCCGTTTTCGCCGCCGTCATCTACCTCCAGGGCTTCCGCGTCGAGATCCCCGTCAAGTCTTCCCGCCAGCGTGGTGCTCGCGGCTCTTACCCCGTCCGCCTGTTCTACACCTCCAACATGCCCATCATGCTGCAGTCTGCTCTGTCCTCCAACGTCTTCCTCATCAGCCAGATGCTGTACTCCCGCTTCTCCGACAACCTCCTTGTCCGCCTTTTCGGTGTCTGGGAGGCTAAGGACGGCTCCGCCCAGCTCTCCGCCATCTCCGGTCTGGCCTACTACATGTCTCCTCCCTTGAACTTCAAGGACGCCCTCCTCGACCCCATCCACACCATCGTCTACATTGTCTACATGCTGGGTGCCTGCGCCATCTTCTCCAAGACCTGGATTGAGGTTTCCGGCTCCAGCCCCCGCGATGTCGCCAAGCAGCTCAAGGACCAGGGTCTCGTCATGGCTGGTCACCGTGACCAGAGCATGTACAAGGAGCTCAAGCGTATCATCCCCACCGCCGCTGCCTTCGGTGGTGCCTGCATCGGTGCCCTCTCCGTTGCCAGCGACCTCATGGGAGCCCTCGGCTCCGGCACCGGTACCCTCTTGGCTGTCACGTAAGTTTAGGACCCAACTGAACCATTTAAGGTTCAATGCTAACAATTATCCAGCATCATCTACGGCTACTTCGAGATTGCTGCCAAGGAGGGTGACCTGTCCGGTATGAAGGGCATGATTATGGGTTAATGTTACCAGTCAACGAGAACGACATATCCCTGTTCATTATAACGAAGCTTCTTCCTTTGTCCATGCGAGGCTTCCAGTAGCCATTATCAGTGGTGGCTCTCTGTGTAATATCACGGCATACATTTAAAAGTTAGATCGAGGTTTTCTGATTCCCTCGTGAACAAAAAGCAAAGGGTTTCCTGGTTGATGGGCTAAGATGTCATTGGGACAGCTAGGCGAGCTACTCTCGCGCCGGGCCTCGACGAGGATGTCGGGACAAGGGAGAATGCTTGAATCCTCGGCTGGTATGTCGAAGAAGAGAGCTTCCCTTTGTGGTAAGCTCGGAAGGGGGTGTTGTATGTAAGACGATGTATGCGAACAAATCCATTTCACGCGCCCCAGTCTGTTTCTGTCGTGTGTGGTGTACGATACCGTGTATGGAGCGCACTGAGGATGAGACCTCCAGGTATCCCCAGCATGCATGCATGTCTGGCTGAGAAACTAGGACACACCTATCTTCGGTTGACTACCTTACGGTATGAAACGGTTGAAGGAACGCCACGCAAGCCGTCCCGTCCGAAAGGGTCGTCTCGTGCCTACTTCGATGTCTTAAAAGCTCGCGATACGTCCACCATCGTCAAGCCACATGGTCCAGACCAAGTGCCTGAGTCCAAGCATTTCTGCAGCGACAACTATTCAGTGCTATTCACATCCAACAAGCCCACAATCACAAAGGTACTCTGTGCGGCGCTCATCCGAGGCGTGGAATGATATCAGCATCCAGCTGCCTCTCCTTTCCTCACTCTTGTCCGGCGATTATACGAATATATTTATTAGTTGGTTGTTCACTGAGTGAGTGTGATGAAGCTCGATGGCTCTTGCGTGGCTATGACGGGGTCACATCGTCGGGCTTTCGGGGAAGACACTACCAACGAGATGCGGGCTGGGAGAACATCTTGCCGAGCTAGACAGTACAGTGAGGTCAATGGATAGCAATAAGTACTTTCCTCTTGGAATGTGTCCGTCGTATTGGCCTTTCTCACAGCTTCGTATGTTCATGTTTTGGCGCTTGGGTGCTAATCTTGCTGTGACTTTCGACTCACATAAAAAAAACTCGAAGTTCTCTTGAGAACTCTGCCCTTGCGCGGTCTGACAACATCATGATCAGGTCGCCGAGAGATCGTCGTTACCAGATGGCAGTGGCCGTGCGCACCTGCGTTGAAGCCATTGTTGATGGTGATGTCAGTCGTTCCGGCGCCTCCAACCCTTACGTCTTGTCGTGTCTTCAGAAAGGCTCCTCAGGTGAACTCATGCGGCAGTTTGAACTGGACCTTGCCAAAAATGAACAAAAAGAACACTGAACAGTTTTGCTGTCCAGCTGATGATCATGAACTGCCTCGTGGGCGAATCGAACGCCCGATCTCCTCATTACTAGTGAGGCGCTTTACCACTGAGCCAACAAGGCGCTTGTTGATGACTAACGAGAAGACTGAGCAGTTCATGATGCTCCATTGTGGTGGAGTTGACGGTCAGGGGTTGAGGGTTGAGAGAGGGTGGAGTTGATGAAGTGTGGTTGGGGACGAGAACGGGTGGTGGAGGTGGAGCTTTGAGGTTATCGCGAGGGTACCTTAGGCTCGTGGTCTTACTGCATCAGCGGTTTAGACTTGAGACAGGGGTGAGAAAAGTGTCTTGGCTGGTCTGTGTGGCCTCGGATTGGGAGTAAAATGCAGTGAATCTGCTGCTGCCTGAAGAGTCGAGGTGGGGCGTGAGATTTACGATGCAGCCGATCTGTACAGCCTCAGGGTGAGATGAAAGTGCAGTGGATTGCTTTCGCCTCTCAGAGATCGGGGGGCATTTACGTGTGCCACGCAGCGGTCTGTATAGCCTCAGGATGGGATTAAATTGCAGTGAAGATCCACTTTGCCGACTTACCTAACAGTCCACCTCGGCTTACCACAACGGCTGAAGCACCCAAAATGATGATGACATGTGGCGCAGTCCTCGCACCCCTTTATTGGTGAGCGTAAGACCTCTCTACATGAGAATGCATTTAGAATACCCTTGACACTTGGGTGAAAACGGCAATTGTGGGACAACTTCGGGAGACTTACTTGTTGGACTGTCCGGGATGATGTGAGCCTGTGAATTCATCCCGATTGACCTACACTGTTGGACCTGTGAGAGCCACTGGGTTTTCGGCCCACAAAGAGTCTGGCTGGGATGCCCAGGCAGCCTGATTGAGGTTGACATTCTACTGGGCTCTTTATCGATGTTGTTTTTGTCCTTACAACAATGGGATTTGATCTTGGACTTGTGCTGGACATAATGAACGAGACCACGCAGGTTGAAAGAACTTCCTTAAGTGTGTCCGAATAGTTACTAGTAAACAACGCCATTGTCGTAAAACAAAATAGCGAAGGACTGCGGCATTCGAAGAGCATCGTGCTGTTGTACTGTTCTAGGCGGCTATATCTTCTACTCCCGAGCCCAACAGACCGCTGGCCGAATCAACAAACGATACCCTTAGACTTCCATACTTTCATCAAATTATTTACAGCCATTCTATATCTCGCCGAATCTCCTTCATTTTCTATCCAGCTTGTCCTTCGACAGAAATCCAGAGTGAACTGACATCTCGACGACATGGCTACGACAACAGAGGAGCTACTCCAGGAGCTATTGGACCAGAACTCCATCACCGAAGTCCAAAACCTCGCAAAAACAACCACCCCCCTCACAGAAACCTTCAAGAAGCACACGCTAACAATTATCAAGAAACACATCGCCCCAGAAGCCTGGCACGACGCCCTCGCCTGCGTCGACCGCCGCCTCCGGACCAAGAAGCACAGGGCCGCCTTCGACGCAGACCGCCAGAACGGCGCCCTCGCCGACCCCGAGAACGAAACCCACTGGGACCTCGCCGACCTCTGCGACCTCGTCCGGATCGTCGACAGACTCCTCCTCCACGTCGCCGACGTCGGCACCGTCGACGCGCCCGGCCGCGAACACGACGACCTCGAGGCCTGGGAGGCGTCCTGGGAACACCGCCGCCCGGATGTCCCGGACACGGAGGAGTACCACCCCCTCGGCGACGAGCGGTGGCAGGAGAGGGACCACGGTACGGAGCACCCCGAGAACTTCGCGCACGCCTTTGCGCGGCATGTCAGGTATAACGCGAGTAACGACACGATCCTCGGCTACGAGGGCGTTCCCGTCAGCGAGACGACTCGCCCGAGGTTGCAGCGCGCTTTTTTTCGTCTCGAGTTCATGCGTCGCGCGTATTACTCCCGTCCGCTTTTCCCTCGCGGCGCCAAGTGGCAGAGCCGGGACTCCACGTTCGAGAAGGGCGAGGCGCAGGGTCTCGCTGGCGAGACCTTCGAGACGCGGCTGGAGAGGGCGGAGAAGATCTTTAGGGGATGGGGGAAGGACGACTTTGTCGAGATCATATGCGCCTTCAAGGCCACGCTGCACTTGTACGCCGTCCCCGTGAGCGATATGATGGCGCAGTTCGCGGGCCTCGCACACAACGCCACGAACAGCTGGGACGTACGTAGGGCGACGGAGTATCACCGCAAGCACACCACCGAGCTGGAGGGAAACGCGCGGGTGGTCGGCCTGCAGTGGGAACGCAACCCCTTGAACGACGCATCCGTGTTGCCGCTCTGGGGCATCCGACCCGACGCCGAGTTCCGCGACCTCCAGCTGCGGCTCCACGCCGAACAGAGGGACCTCCTACGGTTCAGGATGCGGAGGCTCCTCCCCCTCGGCCGCGGCGAGTTCGACGACCTCGGGTGCACGATCTTCAAGACGGACGTGATCCGCCCGGCGCACGAGACGCGGAGACGAGGGGGGAGGGAGCATGACGTCCTTCCCGAGGCGCTCCCCGACGAGGAGATGTCCAAGTTCTTCCACGCGCTGTGCAGCCTGCCGCTCAAGTTCCTGGATACGTTCATGGACATGTCGACGAAGCGGAAGAACCGGTTCCTGAAGACGACGTACCGCGCCATCGCCCGGGTCAAGGCCTCGCACGCGCCCATGTTCCTGTCGGGGGAGGTACGCGCCTGGATGAGCAAGCCGGCGGACGAGAACGGCGGGCGCCACTGGGACTACGAGGCGAAGCGGCGACTGTTTCCCGAGCTCTCCGTCCGGTACGCCGTGCTGGCGTGCGTGGGAATCACGTACAGGCTCTGGAACCACCCGTATTCTGGGTGGCTCGTCCAACGGGATGCGAATCAGCGGTATGTCTGGTGGTGGGAGAACGTCCCCGTGACGCCCCTCGCGTGGGCGAGGATCCGGTCTGCGATCAAGTACCGGCCGTTCGACATCAACCCGGTCTTCCTCATGAGCGACCGGAGCTGGCAGGCCGTCTGGCGGTCGAGCAGGCGGTACGAGCGACAGTTCTGGACCGGGGTCGAGATGGGGACAGTGCGGTGGGAGGGGTACGGGCATCCCGGGCGGCTGGATCCGAACGAGTGTTACTGCCATGTCGGGGAGGGCTGTGCATTGTGTACGCCGCTGCCTCGGCCGGAGGAGCCTGGTGTCGAGTGGGAGCTTTTCACTGAGGATGATTGGGAGGCGGAGTTTGAGTTGGAGAAGCAGCTACATGCCGGGGTTCGACCGCTGGATGAACTAATGAACTAGACGAAAAGGTAAGTTGGATAGGTCAGAGCTGTGACGATCTCAGATGGTAGGTTTTGAATAACTTGATATCGAAAGGTAAGTTTGGGTGAGTAAGAGGCGATATGGACTCAGCAATAGGGGGGTTTTCTAGAGCTTGAAGTTGAATAAGTTTTGGTCAAATATTTGTTTCTTGGATAATGCGAACAATATGCTCAAACGCTGGCTTAGAAGATCTCTCTATCGTCGTACGCCCTGACGCTCTCCAGGTAGTTCTTGACCTGATTATAATCCTTGCACACTGAAAGAGTATTCATTAGCACCGAACCGTGCGAAGACTGAGACGCAAACTTACCATGCTTAGAATCCCAGCCGTCGGAACCACCGTTGTGGTCCGGGAAGGTCGTCTCGAGACCCTCGAGCGCCATGTCGGCGCTGCACATGATGGTCTCCCTCAGGTAGGAGAAGCAGTGGATCATGTGCCAGTGGTGGTCGTCGGGGATCTCGTGGCCGGACTTGAGGCCCGAGTAGGTCTGGACGACGGCGAACTACGCGAGGGATTAGCATCACAGGTCATACGGGAAACGTGGCAAGGAGCGGCTTGCGTACCAAGCAGTGAAGCTGGTGGGTGACGGAGGTGGTGAAGACGGTCTTCTCGGGCCAGACGATGGGCGTGGGGAGGTCGTGGTACTTGTGCGTGTCGTTGACCCATTGGAAGCCCATTCCAACTGCGTTTCTCATCAGTATTTCATCATCTTTCACAATGACATGAGGTTCTTACTCGGCATAAGCTCATTCCAGTTGTTCAGAACCTCATCGGTAAAGAACTTGGACGTGTCGTTAGGCGCGTACTTGCCCTCGTAGTCCATCTTGAACGTCTTGATCTGCTGGTTGACTATTCCGATCCCGAAAGTCAGTCATCGACACACTCCCCTCAACACTTCAAGCAGCCAAGAGTGCCACTCACAATGTCCGCTAACGCCCGTCATATCGCCTCCAAAGTCCCACAGGTTCGTCGGCGGCTTGTCCATCCTCTCCCTCACCAACAGCCCCAGGATGACGAGCAGCAGTATCGTGTCGACGAACCACCTCGACGAGTTGAGCATGCTCAGGCACCTGTTCCTCCTCTTGGCGGGCCTCTGGAAGTCCCGGGCGTACTTGTCGTCCCCGCCGCCGATGAGCGACTCCTCGACCTCGGTGCTGCTGCGGTCGTCGCGGTCGTGCTCCTCCAGGTGGAGGTTCGAGTACTTGGCGTCTGACATGTCCATCTTGGCTTTGGCTGGCTGACTTGTGAAATCGGATCTACCGTTTTGAGGAAATGAGGGTTTGGTATATTATTCAAGAAAGGGACTGTATTATTCAAGAAAGATGAGAAAAAAGAGGGTCACGATGCCAGACCGAATTGAAGAATGAGTGATGACCAACAAGCAATTGCGCCAGCGCCAAGGAGAAGAAGAAGAGAAAGAAGAGGCGAAGGGAAGAAGCAGCTGCGAGAGAAAGAAATGCCCGGCCCTGATCTTCTTTTGTTCGATGCGTCTCCCTCGAATACAACCAAACCCATAAGGATACCGCCCTCATCCCTTCCTTTTCGCGTCCGTGTCTCGTTCCATCTTGCCAATCGTCTCCGTCCCGTCTCGAAAAAGCAGAGGAGGCGAGTTTGAGGCTGAAGTTTCAGGACCAGGGGCCGGTCATGTCTGGCACCTGATGGGCGTCCTGTCGTCGTCGTCGTCCCGAATGGAGATGTGTAAGCCAGGCTATGTGGTGGTGGTGGTGGCTTCACGGGGAATTTTAGCGAACGCCGGCCAGGGTGAGGGTCACATCACCCACGTTTCACCCACCCCGAAAGCGCCAAGCGGCCCCCGCAACCGCAAAGCGGCGGCGGCAGCTCCTGGTCGGGCGTGTTTCTGGTTGCGTTTTCAATCCGTCCGAAGCTTGCTCTTCTGAGGCGCCCCATTTGTCGATCTCCTTTCCCGTCGTCTCTACTTGCCGCCTTTCCGCCAGTGCAGCAGCAGCAGCCCTTTTCTTCGGACCAGAATCCTGGGATGAAATGTCGTACAAGATGCCCTGTGTTCCCCGTTCTTTTGGAGCCAGTGACGGTACTTTGTACGCGTCTGTCCGGGGAAGAACGATTCTTGCCAACCCTTTTGCCTCTTAGCGTCCGCATCAAGCTTCCCGCTTCCGTTACCTTAATCGTGCATGAACCCGTCTTGGTCTTTGTGAGGATGTTGGTGAGCTGAGTGAGTGAGGCTCGACTTTAATTGAAATAAGCGTTTTTGAGTTAGAGTCTGTTATTGATGTTGATTAAAAACTACACGATGAGTACACTCAGTTAGGCTGCATTGGCTGTCCCTTGTAGTCGATGATGATCGATCCGCCAACGCCAAGGCGCAAATCATCCCGATATGCGCAAGTCGAAGCGATGCTTCTACCATTCAATCCTCTCAATACTGCGTGTGTTCACTCTCCCGAGAAGAAACCTCGCATTCCTCCAACACACTTCATCCTCTCCTGTGCCGCGGTAAGCTGGACTTTGGACCGGCTGTCCGAAGGGTATTTCTTTCTCAGCCCACCATATCCTCCTTGAGCCGCCCAGTTAAAGAAAACCACGAACTCCCCCACAGAACAACCGACTCCGAGCTCCATTCTCAGTCCCGTCGTGGCCCGTGGTTTCCGCATCTGCGCCCACTGAGAGTCGCTCACCGCGAACGGCAGTTCTGTGCGTCTGACCACGTCTGTCGCGAACTTGTCGAGAATCGCCTCCCACGCCTCCTTAGACACCACGTAGCGGTCGAGATAGTCCCACTTGGGCAGCCTCAATAACTGTGTCAGGTGGCTCGCCAGCCGTGAAAGACTGACAAACGGGACGTTGCTTAACAGGAGCGTTGGGTGTAGGTAGGGTTCACGGAAGGCACCGAGGAGGGGAAACTCGCGGCCCGACGCGGGATGCTGGCTGTTGAGCTCGCCGAGGACGAACTGCGGGATGCGATGGGCGGGTAGGCGGCAGAGGTACAAGAAGACGCTGCTCAGCATCTGTCTGCGCTGACCCACCTCCATAGCCGCGCACCGGCGAAAGAATGGAAGGCCAAGAGAGGCGAGGAAGGTCAGGAAGCGGAACATGTCGGGCCAGGCGTTATCCTCGTTGTCCAAATTGAGAAGGCGCCCCTGCTCGGGAAGAATGAGGGCCATATTGTATCGGGAAAAGGCGTAGTCTGGTCCGACTCGGAAGCAGCCTCTCGCGGCCTTCTTCAAGCGCTCTTGTTCTTTCTCGTGGTTTGATAAGGATTCCGAAGACGATGCCATCCGTAGGTCGGCTTCATCCATGGCCAGGTCTTCGGCCTGCGATATAACCTCCTCCCTGAAATCTCGCAGCTCGTTGTTGACCCAGAGAGCGTACTGAGTCCAAAGGACTTCAAAGGCGCCGAATGTGCGTTCGACCTCTGAACGAATATCCTGCAGGCGGGAAATCGTCTCCAGGCCCTCTTTTGTGTACGCATTCGCGTTCGTACTCATCGGGGGTGCTTCTGGACGGCGATGGTCGTTCAGCGAGTTCCGCAGCTGGACCCATTCTGCGTTCCAAATCCGCGCTCGTCGAATATTGTCCCATTGCGTTGCGAAGCCGTGGGTGTGAGTGTCCCGGGGCGTCATGCAATTGACTGGATTCGCGCATAGCACAGGAGTGGCGTCGCCGCTGGAGAAGAGAGGGCAGAGCGGGTTCGAGTAGAACAGCCGACGAAAGAGCTCGAGGCGGAAGAAGGACTCCAACACGCTCGTCTGGAATGCCTCGTCATAGAAATGGTGCCCACTTTCCACCAGGGAGAAACCGACTCCCAGACGGTGATCGCTGTGAGCAAGCGTCAACCATGAGTCCAAGACACGCTCGGAAAAGACGGCGTGTTGGCTCATATACTGACCATCCCAGCCCAATCCCGACTTTTTCGCCTTGTAAACGTAGTCCCTCAAGAGAAGATCAACGGCCCTAAGCAGGTCGAGAAGATCACGGAAACGTTGCAACACACGCGGGTGGGCTGACTTCCTCTCTCCGCCGGTGCTGGTGCGGTACGGGTTGGGGAGTCTGTCGCTGAAAAGCCCCTCCTGGTAGTCTGCGGCAAAGGCCTTGACGCGGGTGCGGAACTGGCGGATATGCTCGCGTTTTCCGCGCTGGGGCGCGTGGATAGTGGCCAGAACGACATTTCTCGCTGATGATGGGACAAGCAGGTTGATGAACCAGCCGATGTCGCGGGCGATGGTGAGCTCGATTTCGGCTGACGACTGAATGAAGGTGAGTCTGTGACTGGCTTCGAGATTTTCGAGAATGTTGTGCAGGATCTCAGGAGGAAGGTTCGGGAAGTGAGTGATGAGAGGCATCGTCGATCGTTGGATGAGGAGTGCAGGGGATGATGCTCAGCTCGATAATGCTCTGCTGGTGATGATCGGACGAGACAAGTAAGAAGATGAGGTTGTACTTGTAGTCTTGGGATGTGTTTTGATGGAAATCACCAAAAGGCTTGAATGCAGTCAACAGGATAGCGGATCCTGAATATTCAGAAGTCGTTGCCTGGGATCTTTTCTGCCTTGTTGTTGTGGTCATTGTGATCTCAAAGAACGTGTCTGGGTAGAAGCTTCCAGTTGGCCAACGACTCAGCAGGCTGAGAATCGTGAATGAGCGACAAAGCTTTGGTTCCTATTTCGTGAGAGCAAGAAAGAAGCCTTCCACTGTTCCGCAACATTCCATCAACCTTGCCCGTCGTTGCGATGCACAGTACCGATGAGTCGACCGAGGACCTCCTTGTTAGCTCCCGCCATCAGTGAAGAAAGCAGCACAGATTGGGAGGATGAGAAACTTTTTGAGAAAATACCGTGCCATGAGGCCGGTATGTGTAAATTACGTGTGTGGGAGCGGCATCTTGCCATCCCTAGAGAATATATATGTTATGTACGGTCGTGCCATCATAAGATCGTCAGATTGGCCGCTTCTGCTGTCGACAAGTCGTGCCAAATCTCCAAAAAGTAAAAACATTAAACATTGAAAGACAAGGGTATCAAGTGGTCTTAACCGGGTTATATCCTCTAAACATGTCGCAAGGGAGGTAGTTGTTTTCGATGAAGGGCGTAGCGGCCTGGAAGCCGACGGCGTCCGGGAAAGCGGCATCGGTGCGGAACGGGCCCAAGTTGGACTTGACAGTTCCACGGACCGGGACCGGCTCGAATGCGCCCTGCGTCAAGGAGGTGTTGAAGAGCCGAATTTGCTGGTCGCAAGCCGAGCCGTTGGCGAAGATGGGCTGGTTGATGATGCTGTCGAACATGGACAGGGTGTACGGGATAGGCTGGTCTGCTGATGCTCGTTGCATCTCGAGAGACATGTAGTTCCCGCCGGCCGAGCCGTTGAAGTACGTGCCACCTTGGGGGAGCGCCCCGTAGGCGTTGCATTCCGGGCCAAATGTGGCAGCGTGTACTTCAGTGCCGTATGCTTGCGAGCCGGTAACTGCAGCAGGATTGCTAGCAGAAATCAATTGCTCCGGAGCCCAGCGGAAGTTTGAAGTGCCGTCGCCGAGCAGATCCAAGAAGGGGAATTCAAATCCAGCTTTCTGTAAGGTGTGTGTAAGTTTGTGACTCTGAGCGGTGTGTGCGGTGAGGGTGAGAACTTACACTGAAGTCGGGTATACCAAAGTCTTGAAACCGGATATCGTGGTCATGTCCAGCCTGAACAACAACAGGGTACATGCCAGCGGGAAAGTCTGGCATCACAGCTCGAAGGTTGTTCTCCAAGATTCCAAAGGGAACCATCTGGCGTGCCGTCGTCATTGGGATCGGGATGATGGCCATCGTGACGTTCAGAACACCCGTGGCGTTGTTCGGGTGCTGGCTCCAGAGGGGATTCGGTTGGTCCACGTTCGTACATGTTGGCAGTGTCACTTGTGCCGCAGTCGTCTGCATCTGAACACCAAAGACAACCAGCAGCGCCGCGATGGAGGCCTGAACGAGGTAGGTAGAGAGCGGCATGTTGAACCAGGAAGATAGACTCTCAGGTGCGTGAAGAGAAACCTTCTTGAGATCCGGGCAAGGCCAGAGGGAAGGAAGGACGGTGACCATCTTTATGAAGCTCTGGAAGTAGAGCTGTGAGGGAGTGTTCGGTGGTGAAACATCCGGAAGCGAAGTTAAAGAATCCTGGCGGTCGATCCGGGAATTATACTCAGCGAGGTTACGGTACCGTCTTTTCAACACCGGTGCCGCGTCGATCAGTGATGGGCAGGCAAATTCCCGAGCACACCGCGGAGTTCGTGGCGGGGTTGATGTAACGACGATCCGTCCTGGAGCCGATAGCAGCAAACAAGGCCCTCCCGAGATGTCGAGGTTGTCTAGGCTGGGCAGCAGCCGGGATAAGAACGGATGCGAGTTTGGCCACGGGGCGTGCCAAACAGCCTTTCAGATTCTGGCAATCTGGGACGACGGACCATGACCGCACGGTTGGGATGAGTTCATGGTTTGTGTCGAGTCTTCGTCTCGAGTGATTGGACTAGACGACGGCGCGGAGTCTTTTTTGGACGGGATAGCCCATGGCTCGGAAACGAAGAACCGAATCCATCGTTCAAGAAGGATGGACGGATGGAGTGGAGGCGGTTGACACGCTTGACAAGGGCCGCAGACTCTGGTGTTCGGGAGGGAGAGAAGCCAGACGCTCGGCTGCAGCCACAGGCTCGGATGGTTGGCGTTCCGGGCGGTTGGGAAGACCAGCGTGATCAGCCATGGACACGGAAGCCCGAAGGACCGGCCGAGCGAGGAATTAAAAATGGTCCGTTCTATCTGTATGTCGCTCGTTTTGGCGCGGAATATTGACCACGCGAGGGATCCAGAGGGACGATCTCTCGATTTTTAGCTTGGAAGCGGGCAGAAGGCTTCTTTCGTTCCAGGTGAGCGGTTGGTGGCTTCAAATGGCCATGTCTTGTTTTTTCAGCCATCGTCATTCCAGGCGGGCGCTTGCGACGGTTGCTGGCATCATGGTGTTGTACAGTGTTCGTCTCTGCATGGCGCGGTAATGGAATGGCAGACTTGAATGACACGCGAATTCGTGGATGCCCTTGGTTTGGTGTTGTTGACAGGCACACCACAGGCGCATGCAATCCAATGACTCAATGAGAGACAGGAAGGGCTTTCGTCCGTCGTCGGAAGGGCTGCAGGTGTCTTGAAGGTTGGTGAAGATCCGAGGTTTCAAGTAGCAACCACCCCAGCAAAACTCGCCGCCGGCGTCATTGGCTTACGGTTTTGGTAGTGGAGAAGTACGTACCGCGGATTTATTAGGTAAGGCGACGCTCGCATCAGCTGGCCTGCCGTCTTGGGAATTCCATCCACTGAAAACACAGCGGACCAGGGGGCTTTCCAGCAGCAACACTGAACGTTGGAACCGGGGCCCTCTTGATCCGGTCTAGCGCGGGGATTGCCGAGCAGCAGGGTCCCGGAACCTCGAGAAATCGGATTCTCAACGGTCGGGCAGAATAATATCTGGAGGTGCAATGGCAGATAGACCGGGCGCACAGCACACAGCATGAGGATGCAACTTAGGATGTTGAAGAATGTAAGGTTGCGATGTTTATTCCCCAGATCATGCAGATACGACGTTGTGCATGAAGCAACATAAACTTAAGATAGTCATTGATTTACATACTACCTTACGTAGAGAGAGGCCTTCGTGGCGGGCCCTTTGGGTCTTTGGTGCAGGCACTATCGTCCGGAACTGAGCTTCCCGGCATGGGCTCATCTCATTTCATCCCATCTCACCGTAAATCAGTACCGCAGTGTAAGCCCGTCTTTGCTGCTTTCCAACGTAGCGGTGTGAGAGCCCAAAAAATTACGTCTTTCTCCCGCGTGTCTTGCGAATCCCTCCAAAGCCAAACTGACAAGTCGAGCAAACCTAAGTCGAAAGTGCTTTTCGGTCCGCCCCTTTTCCATCGTCACCACGAGTCCACGACACCACACAGACACGAACCCAACGTTCCATCCTGCAAACTCACACCCCCCGCATCAGAGTCAAGTCAAACATCCGATCACACCGCAACCCCTGTGGCCACTGGCACGAACCCATCCGCGACACGCTACTACCCCGTGCCGCTCCCAGACTCACACACTTCCGGGCCCCAACTGCCCCGAAACACACACAATGGCCACCGTCGCCGATCAGCCGCCCCCGGCCTATGCCGAAGCGGGCGAGGAGAAGGCCGCCGCCGCAACCGGCCCGCGCAAGACACCCATCCCCTCGCCGGCCCCGTCCTCTTCCACCCCGGCCCTCCCGGCCCTGACGCCGGACCAACAATCCAAGTACGACGGCCTCCTCGCGCAGGCCCGCGCCTGGACCGAGGTGAAGTGCCCGACGGCCGCTCACGCCGACAAGTCCGGCCCCCTGACGGACGGCGAGCGCCAGTGGCTGACGCGCGAGTGCCTTCTCCGGTACCTGCGCGCCACGAAATGGGTCCCCAAGGATGCCGAGAAGCGTCTCCTCGAGACCCTCGCCTGGCGCCGCGAGTACGGCGTCGACGGCCTCACCCCGGAGCACATCTCGCCCGAGAACGAGACGGGCAAGCAGATCATCCTCGGCTTCGACAAGGAGCGCAGGCCGTGCCACTACCTCAACCCGGGCCGCCAGAACACGGACCCGTCGCCGCGCCAGGTCCAGCACCTCGTCTTCATGCTCGAGCGCGTCATCGAGGTCATGCCCGCCGGCCAGGAGAAGCTGGCCCTGCTCATCAACTTCAAGACGTCAAAGAGCCGCGGTAACACGGCCCCGGGCATCGGCCTGGCCCGTGAGGTGTTGCATATTCTCCAGACGCACTACCCGGAGCGTCTGGGCAAGGCTCTCATCATTAATGGTATGTCTTTTTGTCCTTTTATCTGGTTTGGACTGTACTGACACTAGTCTAGTACCATGGGTTGTCAATGGCTTCTTCCGCCTCATCACCCCCTTCATCGACCCCATGACGCGTGACAAGCTCAAGTTCAACGAAGACATGAAGCAGTACGTGCCCGAGGAGCAGCTCTGGACCGAGTTCAGCGAGGGCAAGCTCGAGTTCGAGTACGACCACTCCGTCTACTGGCCCGCCCTGAACGCCATGTGCAAGGAGAAGCGCGATGCCAGGACGGCGCGCTGGGTCTCTGGCGGCAAGCTCATCGGCGAATCCGAGGACTACCTTGGTGGTGCTGCTGAGAAGGGCGTTGGAGCTGAAAGCGCCGAGGCGAAACCCGCTGCTTGAGTCTTTTACTATATCAGATTTCTTTCATCACATATTAGGGTATTTAACATGTATAGACAGAGACGAGCACTATGCGCCAGAGTAATGGGCAGAGGGAGATGAAAAAGATCAGAGTAGACGAATTGTCTTGAAAATTCCAGAGTAATTTATGTTACATATCACCGCTGTCTTCTCATAATATGAATAATTCTTCATCTCTGAAGACTACCTATCAGACGTTGAGGTCGCAGCGGACGTTGATGAACAAGCTCTTATCTTATCGCCGATAAGGCTGCATGTCCTCCACTGCACCGCAGCGTCCAACCGCCACGACAGCTCCCCAAGCCCTGCAGCCTTCCAACGTCACCAAGGCCATCAACCCAAACTGCGACAAACACACAAATGCCACACCCTCCACCCTCATAGCCCGAACACATCGCACAACGGCCACAATGTCAAATCTCCAAACAACAAAGAGCGTCCCGGCCAAAGAGACGCCCGGCCTGCGGTACCCCTCCAACGGGAAGACAATCTACCACCGCCCCCTCAACCGCACAAAAACCTCGGAGCTCAGCCAGGCCAGCTTCGCATACCTCTTTAGCGAAATGGTCTCGTACGCCCAGCGCAACGTCAAGGACATCTCGGAGCTCGAACAACGGTAAAAAAACCCCCGTCTCTCCTCCTCGGTCCCGACGCGCCTCAAAACTAACCAACCCACCCGCCAGTCTAAACGTCCAAGGCCACTCGATAGGCCTCAAGCTCCTCGACCTCCTCCTCTTCCGCGAACCCCCACGCACGCAGGTACGCCCGCTGACGATCATCAACCTGCTGCACTTCATCAAGCAGTCGTGCTGGCAGCACCTCTTCGGGCGGCAGGCCGACCGCCTCGAGAAGTCGGCCGACCCGGCCAAGCCCGACGAGTACATGATCATCGACAACGAGCCGCTCGTCAACGCCTACATCAGCGTCCCGCGCGAGATGTCCCAGCTCAACTGCGCCGCCTTCATGGCCGGCATCGTCGAGGGCATCTGCGACGGCGCCGGGTTCCCCGCCCGCGTCAGCGCGCACAACCTCAAGGACGACAAGGAGATGTGGCTCGGCATGACGGTGTTCCTGGTCAAGTTCCGCCCCGAGGTGCTCGAGAGGGAGGGGTACTTGGGGAAGAGCTAGGTGGTGATGTGATGCGCTGCGTGAGAGTTTGTGAGGAACGGGCTGTTTGAAGGCGTTTTCTTGGGTGGCATGGACGGCGTTTTGGCGATGGCGAGGACTTCATGATGTTGTTTGGTGTGGGCTTCTGCGGTTTTGGATGGGCCATGTGTCACTGGGGCTGTTTATATGAATTGGTCGCGAGAGTAGCATGCTTCTCGTTGATGAATAAAAGTGCTCAATCCCTAGCAATGTGCAGCCTCAGGGGGGCCATCTTCCTGGATGACGATGTATGGTGCTTCCGTCCTTGTTGCGATGACACACTTCCCACTGCAATCCGTACGCCTCCCAAACCAATACCCGGGTATACCATAACGCCAAACCACACCGCCCACAACTTCAAGATGAAGACAGAGCCCTCACCGCGGCATCCGACTGCCACCAGCGCCTCCATTGCTTTTCGCTCCCTTGGGTCCCCGATTCATCAATCCCGACAACCCCAGGTCCTTCCACGCCGCCTCCTTCTGTCGCTGAGTCGCCTTGGCGATACCAAACGCCGCGTGCTGGTCCGGGACCACGTCGTCCTCGTCCTCCGGGTTGATGGGCTGGTGCTGCGGCGGCACGTACACCTCGTCGTCCGGGAGCTTGTCCTTGCAGAAGTCCTCGAAGAGGTCGGCGTGGCGCGCCTGGTGCATGTGCACGTGGGTGTAGCTCGCGTCCTTGTTCTGTCCGCTGTTAGGTATGGCTCAGAGACGATTGGGAGACGGGGAGAATAGCGAACCATTTTGTGCGTAAGTGAGAACCGGGAGAATGACTGTTCCTTGACTGCTTGTTCGTGCGATTGGATGTGTTGAGCAGCTGGCTGGTGAGAGTGCGGGATATCGATGTTGGTGTTGATGTTAAGCTCCGCCCCACCATTCGGCACATGCCGATTCGGGTTCGCAGCACTCACCGCTGCTGGCGCCTGTTCACCGAATCATTGGGCCCCGTCACCGAGCTTCTACACCGAACAACGAACACACCGGGAACTTCAAATCTCCATCCGGCAAGATAGTGGTGCTCAATTTGATTCTAGGAGATTTGGTTTCTAAGAGATTATTGTATTGATGATTACGGTTGTCTTAGGTGGGTATCATGGCTCCCCTTCCGTCGCACTCCTCATCGTCCTCCTCCCGCCCGGCCGGTCTCAGCGTCGGTGTATCCGTCACCGGTCGTGTGTGAAAGTGAGTAATACGCTCCCATTCCAACTACATCCCTGCATAGAACATTTATCTTCACACCGGTCCATCTTTGGCAAGAGGTCAGCGGTGGCTGGAGGATGGTCCTTCTCCGGGGCGCAGATGGAGAACCGGCACGTATTGTAACCTGTGTATATGCACTCGTCTTTGTGGAGAAGGAAAGTACCGTTCGCGATCCAATGTTGTTCGGCATGAGCTCTCGCCTGTCTGCAATCGCGGGGCATGGTTTTATTCGGAATCTGCACGCCAGTGTCAGTGACGAATTACTTCGGGTATGATGGATCACAGGGGGGGGGGGGGGGGGGGGGGGCGAAAAAAAAGACCACAAACCTGGGAATTTTTGTAAGA